AAAACTTTATATTTTTTTATTCTTTGCAATTCAGCCATGCTTTCTATTTTTTTCATTCATTTTTAGTATACATAAAAATACTATATGAGTCAAATTTCTTTTTGTAAAATCACTTGTATTTAATTTTTTCTAATGATAATTTGTTAGTAGTTACTTATTAGTATACTTTCTCCTTTAACTTTCTTGAGTTTGTCTTTTCTAACCTTTGAATAATTTGTAATTTTAGAATGATCATATTTCATAAACAAAGTTTTTAAATATTTATTATTTCCATTTCAGTAATGCTTTCCATTTCGCAATTCAACAACTTTTATTTCATTCTCTTTATTATGGATTATTTTATGGGTCAAATTTATTTTCCTATAATCAATTTTGTGTTATAATATTTTTGAATGAGAAATTGTTAGTAGTTAATTGTTATTATATATCACCTAATCTTTTAAATTTATATGAATTGTCTTATTAATCTTTGAACAATGTTCCATTATAGAAGGATCATAATACAATTATAAAGAGTGTTCAAAGAATTATGAGTATCAATTGTAAATCATTCACAAGCAAATAGGTGCTCTTATCAGTCTCTTTCCGTGTGTTTCAAGACTACCATTGTCCTATCTAAATTTTTTTTATTCTACTGTGCTTGACGATAAATGCAATGGACTATTATTTTAATTATACTTTATTTGATATACATATGCATTACATAAAGTAATATATTTTATAATTTAATATTCGAGAGAGAGGGGTAACAAAATTTAACAATGTCATTTTGTGTTTTCGATAATAGTTTCTGCTCGGGGGAAAATGTGTCTGACGATTTTGTGAGATATAAATATTTATATTTTGGTCCAATCATTTGTCATCTATTTTATCTGGTCCCGCAATTAGTTTCTAAATTAAATAGGTTACAAAAATAATTTTCTTGTATAATCCCTTCCGTTTTAGAAAATCAAGCGCACCTAGTGTTTTATACATGTATATTGTTTACTCCATATATAAATAGTCCATTTAAATTAAATATTTTATTTTATTTTTTATTCTCGTCCAAATAAAATCGTTAATACTTATATAGTATATACATGTATGCGAATATTGTAAATACCAAAATGCATAAATTAACCACCATAAACAAAAAAAAACTTAACATATTAATTATATGGATGATTCACACTAAACAATTCTTAAGTAACACATCATAGACGAAAATCTTATTACTTCATTTTGTTTTTACGAATGATAACACAACAAGAAATGAATCAAGGGCTCTTGGAGCTTATTTAAAGTAGTAGTGTATAGAGAGTGATGTTATTTCATACTGACATAGTTTCACACGCTTTTTATCACATGGTTGAAATCATAATTCTATGTTGAAGGTATATTTGGTGAAGGTGGTGATTCTATTGGGTCAGGACCTGATGGAAGAAGTCTTTTAATTTCGTAGTTGAATTCTGAATTTTGTGTTTGAGATTTAATTGGTGATGGGGGTGATTCTATTGGGTCTGGACCTGAAGGAACAAGTCTTTTGATATCATAACTAACTTTAAAATTTTGTGTTAGAGGTTTATTTGGTGATGGCGGTGATTCTATTGGGTCTGGACCGGAAGGAACAAGCCTTTTGTAGCGATAATTTAAAAGGTTTTCACCTATGGCCAAAGAAATGAGTAATATTGATATAATACCAACTAAATAAATCTTTAAGATTGCCATTTCACTTTGTTTGAATTTTAGTGTGTCGTAATCTTGTAAAAATATTAAACTTCTTTGGTTTAAGTTTTTAAAATTTTCAATTATTTTCCATTTTAGGAGGATCATATTTCAATTAAAAAACTTTATATTTTTTTATTCTTTGCATTTCAGCCATGCTTTCTATTTTTTTCATTCATTTTTAGTATACATAAAAATACTATATGAGTCAAATTTCTTTTTGTAAAATCACTTGTATTTAATTTTTTCTAATGATAATTTGTTAGTAGTTACTTATTAGTATAGTTTCTCCTTTAACTTTCTTGAGTTTGTCTTTTCTAACCTTTGAATAATTTGTAATTTTAGAATGATCATATTTCATAAACAAAGTTTTTAAATATTTATTATTTCCATTTCAGTAATGCTTTCCATTTCGCAATTCAACAACTTTTTTTGCATTCTCTTTATTATGGATTACTTTATGGGTCAAATTTATTTACATATAATCAATTTTGTGTTATAATATTTTTGAATGAGAAATTGTTAGTAGTTAATTGTTATTATATATCACCTAATCTTTTAAATTTGTATGAATTGTCTTTTTAATCTTTGAACAATGTTCCATTATAGAAGGATCATAATACAATTATAAAGAGTGTTCAAAGAATTATGAGTATCAATTGTAAATCATTCACAAGCAAATAGGTGCTCTTATCAGTCTCTTTCCGTGTGTTTCAAGACTACCATTGTCCTATCTAAATTTTTTTTATTCTACTGTGCTTGACGATAAATGCAATGGACTATTATTTTAATTATACTTTATTTGATATATATATGCATTACATAAAGTAATATATTTTATAATTTAATATTCGAGAGAGAGGGGTAACAAAATTTAACAATGTCATTTTGTGTTTTCGATAATAATTTCTGCTCGGGGGAAAATGTGTCTGACGATTTTGTGAGATATAAATATTTATATTTTGGTCCAATCATTTGTCATCTATTTTATCTAGTCCCGCAATTAGTTTCTAAATTAAATAGGTTACAAAAATAATTTTCTTGTATAATCCCTTCCGTTTTAGAAAATCAAGCGCACCTAGTGTTTTATACATGCATATTGTTTACTCCATATATAAATAGTCCATTTAAATTAAATATTTTAATTTATTTTTTATTCTTGTCCAAATAAAATCGTTAATACTTATATAGTATATAGATGTATGTGAATATTGTAAATACCAAAATGCATAAATTAACCACCATAAACAAAGAAAACTTAACATATTAATTATATGGATGATTCACACTAAACAATTCTTAAGTAACACATCATAGACGAAAATCTTATTACTTCATTTTGTTTTTACGAATGATATCACAACAAGAAATAAATCAAGGGTTCTTGGAGCTTATTTAAAGTAGTACTGTATAGAGAGTGATGTTATTTCGTACCGACATAGTTTCACACGCTTTTTATCCCATAGTTGAAATCATAATTCTATGTTGAAGGTATATTTGGTGAAGGTGGTGATTCTATTGGGTTAGGACCTGATGGAAGAAGTCTTTTAATTTCGTAGTTGAATTCTGAATTTTGTATTTGAGATTTAATTGGTGATGGGGATGATTCTATTTGGTCTGGACCTGAAGGAACAAGTCTTTTGATATCATATTAAAATTTTGTGTTAGAGGTTTATTTGGTGATGGCGGTGACTCTATTGGGTCAAGACCGGAAGGAACAAGCCTTTTGTAGCGATAATTTAAAAGGTTTTCACCTATGGCCAAAGAAATGAGTAATATTAATATAATACCAACTAAATAAATTTTTGAGATTGCCATTTCACTTTGTTTGAATTTTAGTGTGTCGTAATCTTGTATAAATATTAAACTTCTTTGGTTTATGTTTTTAAAATTTTCAATTATTTTCCATTTTAGGAGGATCATATTTCAATTAAAAAACTTTATATATTTTTATTCTTTGCATTTCAGCCATGCTTTCTATTTTTTTCATTCATTTTTAGTATACATAAAAATACTATATGAGTCAAATTTCTTTTTGTAAAATCACTTGTATTTAATTTTTTCTAATGATAATTTGTTAGTAGTTACTTATTAGTATAGTTTCTCCTTTAACTTTCTTGAGTTTGTCTTTTCTAACCTTTGAATAATTTGTAATTTTAGAATGATCATATTTCATAAACAAAGTGTTTAAATATTTATTATTTCCATTTCAGTAATGCTTTCCATTTCGCAATTCAACAACTTTTTTTTCATTCTCTTTATTATGGATTACTTTATGGGTCAAATTTATTTTCCTATAATCAATTTTGTGTTATAATATTTTTGAATGAGAAATTGTTAGTAGTTAATTGTTATTATATATCACCTAATCTTTTAAATTTGTATGAATTGTCTTTTTAATCTTTGAACAATGTTCCATTATAGAAGGATCATAATACAATTATAAAGAGTGTTCAAAGCATTATGAGTATCAATTGTAAATCATTCACAAGCAAATAGGTGCTCTTATCAGTCTCTTTCCGTGTGTTTCAAGACTACCATTGTCCTATCTAAATTTTTTTTATTCTACTATGCTTGACGATAAATGCAATGGACTATTATTTTAATTATACTTTATTTGATATACATATGCATTACATAAAGTAATATATTTTATAATTTAATATTCGAGAGAGAGGGGTAACAAAATTTAACAATGTCATTTTGTGTTTTCGATAATAATTTCTGCTCGGGGGAAAATGTGTCTGACGATTTTGTGAGATATAAATATTTATATTTTGGTCCAATCATTTGTCATCTATTTTATCTGGTCCCGCAATTAGTTTCTAAATTAAATAGGTTACAAAAATAATTTTCTTGTATAATCCCTTCCGTTTTAGAAAATCAAGCGCACCTAGTGTTTTATACATGTATATTGTTTACTCCATATATAAATAGTCCATTTAAATTAAATATTTTATTTTATTTTTTATTCTCGTCCAAATAAAATCGTTAATACTTACATAGTATATACATGTATGCGAATATTGTAAATACCAAAATGCATAAATTAACCACCATAAACAAAAAAAAACTTAACATATTAATTATATGGATGATTCACACTAAACAATTCTTAAGTAACACATCATAGACGAAAATCTTATTACTTCATTTTGTTTTTACGAATGATAACACAACAAGAAATAAATCAAGGGTTCTTGGAGCTTATTTAAAGTAGTAGTGTATAGAGAGTGATGTTATTTCATACCGACATAGTTTCACACGCTTTTTATCACATGGTTGAAATCATAATTCTATGTTGAAGGTATATTTGGTGAAGGTGGTGATTCTATTGGGTCAGGACCTGATGGAAGAAGTCTTTTAATTTCGTAGTTGAATTCTGAATTTTTTGTTTGAGATTTAATTGGTGATGAGGGTGATTCTATTGGGTCTGGACCTGAAGGAACAAGTCTTTTGATATCATAACTAACTTTAAAATTTTGTGTTAGAGGTTTATTTGGTGATGGCGGTGATTCTATTGGGTCTGGACCGGAAGGAACAAGCCTTTTGTAGCGGTAATTTAAAAGGTTTTCACCTATGGCCAAAGAAATGAGTAATATTGATATAATACCAACTAAATACATCTTTGAGATTGCCATTTCACTTTGTTTGAATTTTAGTGTGTCGTAATCTTGTATAAATATTAAACTTCTTTGGTTTATGTTTTTAAAATTTTCAATTATTTTCCATTTTAGGAGGATCATATTTCAATTAAAAAACTTTATATTTTTTTATTCTTTGCATTTCTGCCATGCTTTCTATTTTTTTCATTCATTTTTGGTATACATAAAAATACTTTATGAGTCAAATTTCTTTTTGTAAAATCACTTGTATTTAATTTTTTCTAATGATAATTTGTTAGTAGTTACTTATTAGTATAGTTTCTCCTTTAACTTTCTTGAGTTTGTCTTTTCTAACCTTTGAATAATTTATAATTTTAGAATGATCATATTGCATAAACAAAGTTTTTAAATATTTATTATTTCCATTTCAGTAATGCTTTCCATTTTGCAATTCAACAACTTTTTTTTCATTCTCTTTATTATGGATTACTTTTTGGGTCAAATTTATTTTCCTATAATCAATTTTGTGTTATAATATTTTTGAATGAGAAATTGTTAGCAGTTAATTATTATTATATATCACCTAATCTTTTAAATTTGTATGAATTGTCTTTTTAATCTTTGAACAATGTTCCATTATTGAAGGATCATAATACAATTATAAAGAGTGTTCAAAGAATTATGAGTATCAATTGTAAATTATTCACAAGCAAATAGGTGCTCTTATCAGTCTCTTTCCGTGTGTTTCAAGACTACCATTGTCCTATCTAAAATTTTTTTATTCTACTGTGCTTGACGATAAATGCAATGGACTATTATTTTAATTATACTTTATTTGATCTACATATGCATTACATAAAGTAATATATTTTATAATTTAATATTCGAGAGAGAGGGGTAACAAAATTTAACAATGTCATTTTGTGTTTTCGATAATAATTCCTGCTCGGGGGAAAATGTGTCTGACGATTTTGTGAGATATAAATATTTATATTTTGGTCCAATCATTTGTCATCTATTTTGTCTGGTCCCGCAATTAGTTTCTAAATTAAATAGGTTACAAAAATAATTTTCTTGTATAATCCCTTCCATTTTAGAAAATCAAGCGCACCTAGTGTTTTATACATGTATATTGTTTACTCCATATATAAATAGTCCATTTAAATTAAATATTTTATTTTATTTTTTATTCTTGTCCAAATAAAATCGTTAATACTTATATAGTATATAGATGTATGCGAATATTGTAAATACCAAAATGCATAAATTAACCACCATAAACAAAGAAAACTTAACATATTAATTATATGGATGATTCACACTAAATAATTCTTAACTAACACATCATAGACGAAAATCTTATTACTTCATTTTTTTTTCACGAATGATATCACAACAAGAAATAAACCAAGGGTTCTTGGAGCTTATTTAAAGTAGTAGTGTATAGAGAGTGATGTTATTTCATACCGACATAGTTTCACACGCTTTTTATCAAATGGTTGAAATCATAATTCTATGTTGAAGGTATATTTGGTGAAGGTGGTGATTCTATTGGGTCAGGACCTGATGGAAGAAGTCTTTTAATTTCGTAGTTGAATTCTGAATTTTGTGTTTGAGATTTAATTGGTGATGGGGGTGATTCTATTGGGTCTGGACCTGAAGGAACAAGTGTTTTGATATCATAACTAACTTTAAAATTTTGTGATAGAGGTTTATTTGGTGATGGTGGTGATTCTATTGGGTCTGGACCAGAAGGAACAAGCCTTTTGTAGCGATAATTTAAAAGGTTTTCACCTATGGCCAAAGAAATGAGTAATATTGATGTAATACCAACTAAATAAATCTTTGAGATTGCCATTTCACTTTGTTTGAATTTTAGTGTGTCGTAATCTTGTATAAATATTAAACTTCTTTGGTTTATGTTTTTAAAATTTTCAATTATTTTCCATTTTAGGAGGATCATATTTCAATTAAAAAATCTTATGTTTTTTTATTCTTTGCATTTCAGCCATGCTTTCTATGTTTTTTCATTCATTTTTAGTATACATAAAAATACTTTATGAGTCAAATTTCTTTTTGAAAAATCACTTGTATTTAATTTTTTCTAATGATAATTTGTTAGTAGTTACTTATTAGTATAGTTTCTCCTTTAACTTTCTTGAGTTTGTCTTTTCTAACCTTTGAATAATTTATAATTTTAGAATGATCATATTGCATAAACAAAGTTTTTAAATATTTATTATTTCCATTTCAGTAATGCTTTCCATTTCGCAATTCAACAACTTTTTTTTCATTCTCTTTATTATGGATTACTTTATGGGTCAAATTTATTTTCCTATAATCAATTTTGTGTTATAATATTTTTGAATGAGAAATTGTTAGTAGTTAATTGTTATTATATATCACCTAATCTTTTAAATTTGTATGAATTGTCTTTTTAATCTTTGAACAATGTTCCATTATAGAAGGATCATAATACAATTATAAAGAGTGTTCAAAGAATTATGAGTATCAATTGTAAATCATTCACAAGCAAATAGGTGATCTTATCAGTCTCTTTCCGTGTGTTTCAAAACTACCATTGTCCTATCTAATTTTTTTTTATTCTACTGTGCTTGACGATAAATGCAATGGACTATTATTTTAATTATACTTTATTTGATATACATATGCATTACATAAAGTAATATATTTTATAATTTAATATTCGAGAGAGAGGGGTAACAAAATTTAACAATGTCATTTTGTGTTTTCGATAATAATTTCTGCTTGGGGGAAAATGTGTCTGACGATTTTGTGACATATAAATATTTATATTTTGGTCCAATCATTTGTCATCTATTTTGTCTGGTCCCGCAATTAGTTTCTAAATTAAATAGGTTACAAAAATAATTTTCTTGTATAATCCCTTCCGTTTTAGAAAATCAAGCGTACCTAGTGTTTTATACATGTATATTGTTTACTCCATATATAAATAGTCCATTTAAATTAAATATTTTATTTTATTTTTTTCTCTCGTCCAAATAAAATCGTTAATACTTATATAGTATATAGATGTATGCGAATATTGTAAATACCAAAATGCATAAATTAACCACCATAAACAAAGAAAACTTAACATATTAATTATATGGATGATTCACACTAAACAATTCTTAAGTAACAAATCATAGACGAAAATCTTATTACTTCATTTTGTTTTTACGAATGATAACACAACAAGAAATAAATCAAGGGTTCTTGGAGCTTATTTAAAGTAGTAGTGTAAAGAGAGTGATGTTATTTCATACCGACATAGTTTCACACGCTTTTTATCACATGGTTGAAATAATAATTCTATGTTGAAGGTATATTTGGTGAAGGTGGTGATTCTATTGGGTCAGGACCTGATGGAACAAGTCTTTTAATTTCATAGTTGAATTCTGAATTTTATGTTTGAGATTTAATTGGTGATGGGGGTGATTCTATTGGGTTTGTACCTGAAGGAACAAGTCTTTTGATATCATAATTAACTTTAAAATTTTGTGTTAGAGGTTTATTTGGTGATGGCGGTGATTCTATTGGGTCTGGAACGGAAGGAACAAGCCTTTTGTAGCGATAATTTAAAAGATTTTCACCTATGGCCAAAGAAATGAGTAATATTTATATAATACCAACTAAATAAATCTTTGAGATTGCCATTTCACTTTGTTTGAATTTTAGTGTGTCGTAATCTTGTATAAATATTAAACTTCTTTGGTTTATGTTTTTAAAATTTTCAATTATTTTCCATTTTAGAAGGATCATATTTCAATTAAAAAATTTATATTTTTTTATTCTTTGCATTTCAGCCATGCTTTCTATTTTTTTCATTCATTTTTAGTATACATAAAAATACTTTATGAGTCAAATTTCTTTTTGTAAAATCACTTGTATTTAATTTTTTCTAATGATAATTTGTTAGTAGTTAATTATTAGTATAGGTTCTCCTTTAACTTTCTTGAGTTTGTCTTTTCTAACCTTTGAATAATTTGTAATTTTAGAATGATCATATTGCATAAACAAAGTTCTTAAATATTTCTTATTTCCATTTCAGTAATGCTTTCCATTTCTCAATTCAACAACTTTTTTTTCATTCTCTTTATTATGGATTACTTTATGGGTCAAATTTATTTTCCTATAATCAATTTTGTGTTATAATATTTTTGAATGAGAAATTGTTAGTAGTTAATTGTTATTATATATCACCTAATCTTTTAAATTTGTATGAGTTGTCTTTTTAATCTTTGAACAATGTTCCATTATAGAAGGATCATAATACAATTATAAAGAGTGTTCAAAGCATTATGAGTATCAATTGTAAATCATTCACAAGCAAATAGGTGCTCTTATCAGTCTCTTTCCGTGTGTTTCAAGACTACTATTGTCCTATCTAAATTTTTTTTATTCTACTGTGCTTGACGATAAATGCAATGGACTATTATTTTAATTATACTTTATTTGATATACATATGCATTACATAAAGTAACATATTTTATAATTTAATATTCGAGAGAGAGGTGTAACAAAATTTAACAATGTCATTTTGTGTTTTCGATAATAATTTCTGCTCGGGGGAAAATGTGTCTGACGATTTTGTGAGATATAAATATTTATATTTTGGTCCAATCATTTGTCATCTATTTTGTCTGGTCCCGCAATTAGTTTCTAAATTAAATAGGTTACAAAAATAATTTTCTTGTATAATCCCTTCCGTTTTAGAAAATCAAGCGCACCTAGTGTTTTATACATGTATATTGTTTACTCCATATATAAATAGTCCATTTAAATTAAATATTTTATTTTATTTTTTATTCTCGTCCAAATAAAATCGTTAATACTTATATAGTATATAGATGTATGCGAATATTGTAAATACCAAAATGCATAAATTAACCACCATAAACAAAGAAAACTTAACATATTAATTATATGGATGATTCACACTAAACAATTCTTAAGTAACACATCATAGACGAAAATCTTATTACTTCATTTTGTTTTTACGAATGATAAC